TTTTTATTCGATTACAGGAACTCTAAAAATAGCACCACTGGCAAGTCACCCTCAGAGATTGTATTCGGGCGTGCGTTGCGCTCGCGACTAGACTTGTTGAACACTAGCACACCGACACCGTCACCTTCGTCCACAGACCTAATTCAGACCGTCGCGCGTAATCAGTCCTTACAGGCTAAATACTATCGTGGTGTACAAAGACCTAATTATAAGCAAAATGAAAAAGTTTGGATCACAAAAAATACTAACAATAAGAAATACAGTTGGATTGAAGGAATTATTAAAAGACAAATCGGCAACGTACTGTACAGTGTGTACATCCCGCAATTGAGGTCTGAGGTCAACAGACACACAGACCAGATAAGGAAAAGAGTGGACACTACACCGAGCGACGACTTAAGCTGGGACCCGGACTTGATACCGGATGTGGCACCACTGACTATCACTCACTCTGAGAGAGTTCCACCGCCGGAAGGGGAAGGAAGGCCGGAGCCGGACCCTGGACAAGGGGCGACGTCGTCAGCTACACCGGTGACTCCACCACGCACCACCGCCTTAACTCAAAGGCGACGGGCTATAAGTCCTATCTTCTCAACACCTACAGAAAGCCAGTATGTCAGTGATGATAGTGATAGGACGAACCAACTGATACTTTAAACTATAAGGGGTATGATTAAGTATAATTAGTTAAAAGTATTCATAGTTTAAGGGGGAGGGATGTTATGTATGTATGTATAGATGCAAAGGTAGAATGCGGGCTGCGCCCCGCTTCCCCGCTCCGCTATGAAGTTTAGATAAAATAAACCAGTGTGCAACTAACTAGCGAGTTTAATTGGCGTGCGCATCGTTCCCTTACAAGGAGATACTTAACAGATTCTGTATACCATTTTTTAAACGGGGGTTATTCATCGAATGGCTTCTCCCGCCTGGGTAAGGTGGGAGGAAGTGTCAGACTCTTACTGACTAAAAACCACCCCGTTCCTTCTCCTGTACTTCGAGCTGGAGTCCCGGTAACCTTTTACGTTCTTCGCAGCAAGATTCTGTATACCATAAGATTAATTCGACGCTTGTTATTACTGGAGAAAGTTTTCCTTAATATTATTTATTGAGCCATGTCTGTGATATCATAGTGTCATAGAGGTCTGACATGTAATAAACGTACTTACACGATAAAATACAACGCAGTTTCGTTGTGTATATGATGTCTCAATAGGTTATAATTTTCATTAAACTGCATTTAACAAACCTAATTCAACCTCCTTTTTTTCGAAGTAGGCTTTATAATAAAGTGGGTTACCGCATCAAAATCCGTTTAGCCAATCACGAGATCATCATGGCCAAACATGCATAGGTACACACATGTCGAACTAAGAACCTCCTGCTTTTCTTCAAGTCGGTTAAAAGCTACATAGTTTATCTTTTAGACTGCCTCGCTGGCCGAGTGGTCGCAAGTGCGACTGCCGGACAAGGGGTCTCGGGTTCGATTCCCGGGTCGGGCAAAGTATTACTGGGTTTTTAAAAATCTCAGTAGTAGCACGGAGTCTGGAATTGTGCCCGGTATATGGCAATAGGCTCACCCCCTATTACATGGGACTCATAACATTAAGAGTGAAAAGTGGGTGTTACATTGTATAGTGGCATTAAGTGCCTTAATGTGCACCTCTGCCTACCCCTTCGAGGATAAAAAGGCGTGATGTTATGTTATGTCGTTTATCTTTTAGTTAGCATAGACAAAAATATAACAAAAGACTAATTTTTCACCATAGTAGGTACAGATTAATCCCAGTACAATTAGCACTTCAACTTACCAACACCTTTTTGGAAAAAACGAAAGGAAAAAAACTAAAAATAACTAGATAAAGTTCCGCGCAATCTTCGTTAGACTTTAAGACCAACTTGGGACTAGAAGTTTGCACATCTAAGAGCTTGTTCAGACGTGACGATGGAACGGAGAAATAAGGTCACACCCAGACGGTTTATGTAGATTAGTGTGCAGTAATTATGGGGAGCTGTGATTGGTTGTGAGGTGTTTTGGTGGGACAATGTGTAACAAGCATTCTTATTTTAAACTAGCTTTTACCCGCGGCTTCGCTCGCGTCACAAAAGGATAAAAAGTAGCCTATGTGACATATCCCAATACATACAGCGCCATCTATACCAATACTTTTGTTTTCCCTCGGGAATATCAATTTTTTCCGGGATAAAAAGTACCCTATTATTTAATCCAGACTACTAACTTTACGTCTGCAGAAATTCAATGCAATCGGTTTAGTAGTTACGGCGTGAAGTCGGAACAAACAAACAAACAAACTCACTTTCCGATTTATAATATTAGTAAGGATGAATAAAGTTGAAGAGACTCGCTCATTGCACTCAATCCACTCTAGTACTTGATGTTGTAAAATGACGTCACATGTAATAAAAAAATATCCTCTGATGATAAGGTTAAACTGCAACTGATAATTTCTAAAAACGAGTTAAAAGGCAACAGTCGCTTTATCATCCGATAATGTCAACGGGTTTAATTTAAACAGTTCCACTGCACCTCTCATGGCATCGTATCAGAGAAAAGATTCCAGGAATTTACGAAAATCTATCACGGATCGCCTTATCTGAACAAGCTCTAATTCTAACGAAGTTCGCCTCCAAAATGCCATGATAACTAAGCATCATTAATTTTCGTTGTCTCCCCTGCGAGGAAATCCACCTAATTCTGTACGTAAACTTAGATGTTCGCTAATCCATTTAACCTGGATAAACAGGGCATTATTCCGGATATTATTATAGTCTATCTTTTGTATTTTAAACAAGTAACAATGAATATTTGGTCCTTCCATTAAGTGGTATTTAAAAGCAAGTTAAGTGAGTGGAAAATTCACATAACATAATATAACATCCCGCCTTTTATCCCTAAGAGGTAGTCAGAGGTGCACATTACGGCACTTAATGCAACTGTACAATGTAACACCCACTTTTCACTATTTATGTTATGAGTCCCATGTAATAGGGGGTGAGCCTATTGCCATATACCAGACACATATCCAGACTCCGTGCTACTACTGAGATCTTAAAAACCCAGTAATACTTTGCCCGAGACCCCTTGCCCGGCAGTCGCACTTGCGGCCACTCGGCCAACGACGCAATGGAAAATCAATGTATTTTTATGGGGATCAAGCAGACGGATCGCCTGATGGTAAGCAATCGACACCGCCCATGGACATTCGTGATTCTAGAGGAGTTACAAACGCGTTGCCAGTTTTTTGAGATTGAGAATTTTGGGATAAAGGGAACACGGTGAAACATAACGCAAGTGTTGTTTCACGTTTGATCAGCGAAGGCGTCTTCTCGCGTCCGGCCCTAGCCCGGGCCACTTTGAAGGGCAGTCATTCGATGATTTTCCCTTCTTAAAAAAGTGTCGTTTGACGTCGGTTTTCTGTGTGGTACCCAGGTCTAACCAGCCATATTTTAGCATCAAATAATATGGCCTTCTCTTTGGGCGTATTTGAACTAATAATGATGATAGTGTCTAGTTTCCAAATCAGTAAATAACAATTGCTAACTTTGACTGTACGGTTGGTGCGGTGCTGGGCAACCGGCTGCCGTGCAACGTGTCGCGGGTTCGATTCCCGCACGGAACCACACTTTGTGTGATCCACAAATTGTTGTTTCGGGTCTGGGCGTTATTTTGTATATGAACCTGTATGTTTGTAAACGCACCCACGACACAGGAGAAAATCCTAATGTGGGGCAACGTTTTTTTTTAAAAAGATAAAAAAAAGATAAAAAAATGAATTTGAGATTTCGTGGTGTCCCGGAGGTTTAAGACGCTACTCATACAAGAGGGTGCGGGTTTGAAACCTACCAACGGCAAGTACCAATGTGACTTTTTACGAGTTATATAAACTTTCTAAGATTATTTTTAGACACCATTGACTTATTTCTAATTATAATATGTTAGTCTGTAAGGTATGTATCTATGGGCCAGAAAATAGAGTTTAAATAAAATAAATAAATAAGTTTGTTATCGCCACCCCGCATTGAGCAAGCATCGTGATTAATGCTCAAACCTTCTCCGTGGTAGAAGAGGTTTTGCTCAGCAGTGGGCACTTATAGGCTGTTGATGATGTACTATGAATTTAACTATAACTATTTGGTCAAATTGTTTTCAACAAAAAACAAACTACTGTCTCCTGCTCATTACTGGCTTCATTTAGTAGAACAAATTGAAACCACAATTTTCTTATAACTCATTATTTATTTCAGTTTGTGTATTACATAATGTACTGTATTAGAAAACCGCAAGTTATATTTCGCTTGCTAATTAAATATAAAATACTTAATCGTATTGTGTTCCCTATTTTCTGAGAAACACACAAACTCATTATCCCTTCATTAAAATTTACGTAATAATCAAAATGTTTTAATGTATAAGGATTGTGGTTTTTATATTTTTGTTAGAAAAAATATAACAAAATGGCGTTACTCGTTTTTTACTTCGGGTGCGTAGACAAATGTTTGAAAACCCACTTCTATAACTAACATGCAAGTTGTCTTTCTTTGGTAGATTTTCAACTCTATCGTTTAGATATAAAGTCGAAAGCGTAATGACAGCAAATGAAAAATTGGAGTAAGTGCGTTGGTGTGCTAGCCACTGTTTATGGTTGTTTTTAGTTTGAATTTTGACAAGGAGTAGATGAATATATGACAAAGGAAAATTGATCTAAATGAACTTATAATAGATGTTAAATTTATGCTAACGGAAGGATTCTTCCACTAGATAAGGAACTTAGTAGTCAGTGGCTTATGGATGGTAGTTTATTTTGGTTATAGTGCCATCTATTGATTTATGCTTAAACTAGGATCAATATCATGTTCATCTTCATCGTCGTTGTATTACCCACAAGACGTCTACTGTCGATGTCGAACATAGACCTACCTAAAGATTGTGGCAATAGGAATTGTTACACCATAGAAACACTCATAATCTTTACTTATCTTACCTTTCCCTTCGTGTATCTTCTGTTCTCTCTGAACCAGGTAACTTGAGCCGCTGGTCTACTGCCGTGGGTGACGCAGATGATGGTGATCTCGGAGTCAGCTGACATCTGGCCAGGTTTATTCGTTATCATCACTGATGTTGGTCGTACTGTTGACAAAAGTACAAGTAAAATAAAAAAAAATTATAACTTCAAATTCAAAGTCTTTCAAAGTCTTTATTGCTTCATGTGTGGGTACCAAGGTGTTATACATAATACATATTATTTTGGTTAAGCAGTATCAACATGACCCTACAGGGCGCTGCAATTTATATTAATTAATAAAAAACACTATACACTTTGGTGTGACATCCTATATTAATTATTATGTTTTCGGCTTACTCAAGTAACAGCGCGACAGTCGCCGAAAATGGCACCGGAATGCTGCTCATGAATATGAGCCTCGAGCATGGCTTGAAACTAGTCGAGTTCCTCGTCAAATAATTACGTGAGTAAGTCGAAAATATAATAATAAAAAAAATCTTAGTATCTTTGTGCTATAATTAATAATTATGATGCAGATGACTGCCTCGTTGGACTAGTAGTTGTAAGTGCGACTGCGGGGCAAGGGTTCTCGGGTTCGATTCCCGGGTCGGGCAAAGTATTTCTGGGTTTTTTTAATTCTCAGTAGTAGCACGGAGTCTGGAAATGTGCCCGGTATATGGCAATAGGCTCACCCCCTATTACATGGGACTCGCAACATAAATAGTGAAAAGTGGGTGTTACATTGTATAGTTGCATAATGTGCACCTCTGCCTACCCCTGCGGGGATAAAAGGTGTGATGTTATGTTATGATGCAGATGTAAATTATCAGTTTTGGTTTATAGGTGTGTATTCGGAAAATGTATAGAAATGTGAATAGACGCTTTTGATTACTGTTAGGTATAAGCATTATTTAATTGCTTATTTAAAGTTTGTATGTAAACACTATCTGTATTTTAACTAATGAATAATATATAAATTTTATAAGTTTGCATCATGACGTAACGTTTATAATTTTATCAAGTTTTTGCAAACTTAATGGGTTTAATAATCCACTGAATTTCCCCATTTTTTAGTTCGTGAATACGAACCAGGATTATATTTTAATATTGTATAATATTAACTAAAATTAAGAGGTACTCACGTAAATATAATGAGAAAAGCTCTACTAGGTCCGAGTTACAGAGGAACTCTTCCTCATGAGCATCGTGCGCCTACTCAGTAGATATCGCCGCGACCGCGATTAATTTTAAGTTATCTCAACATGCTTCACGATAGTTATTATAAAACATTCTATAAGACTGCCTCGTTGGCCGAGTGGTCGCAAGTGCGACTGCCGGGCATGGGGCCTCGGGTTCGATTCCCGGGTCGCACAAAGTACTACTAAGTACTAGGTTTTTAAAACTCTCAGTATTGCACGGAGTCTGGAATTGTGCCCGATATATGGCAATAGGTTCACCCCCTATTACATGGGACTCATAACATAATAGTGAAGAGTGGGTGTTACATTGTACAGTGGCATACTGTGCACCTCTGCCTACCCCCGGGATAAAAGGCGTGATGTTATGTTATGTTATTATAATTTTTTATATTTTTCTTCAAAATAGGTTCATGCTACAATTACAGTAGCGCAGAGATGTCGTCTAGACAGTTTATACATAATATTACCCACAAAGTCATACCTAATAAAAATTACAAAATGACATATTACAATTTCACATATCTTCACACAAATATACCCATTTCGTAGAAGTAGATAACGAATATTTCACTACTTGCGGTTACATTACAAGGCAAAGAAATTAGGTAATAAGAAAATTATCTATATTATGCTCAACATATTTTGAGCCTTCATACTATTGGGTACCAGTACACCTTCGAATAAAACTTAACGTCTCCTTAGGTTATTTTTAGCATGAATTATTTTAGCATCTGTTTCATCCCAAAAACGGTTCACCTGCTATGTTATTAGTCCCATATAATACGGGACGAGAATACATTATATCTTAGGTAAAACGGTTTGAGCCCTGAAGACTTGTTTATCTTTAATATTTGCTAGGTACTTATATGTAGAACTAGCTTCTGCCCGCGACGCGTAATCCCATTTTTCCCGTCCCCGTTCGTGATATTCGGCAAAAAGTAAAAAAAAAATGTTGGTCAAAAAGTATCCTATGTCGGTCTCCTGGCTCTAAGCTACCTCCCTACCAATTTTCAGTCAAATCTATTCTGCCGTTCTTGAGTTATAAGTGGTGTAACTAACACGACTTTCTTTTATATATATAGACTAGTTATACGCGCGGCCTCGTCCGCGTAGAAAATATAGACTAAGTTAGTCCTTAGTATATCAGCTAGGAAGCTGGGAGGAGTGGCAGACCATTTCAGAGGTTAGTCAGAACAAACAAACAATGGCAGAACATTTGGAGGCTGCTCGGTCAGCCTGTACGCGACTAATCTAATATATAAAATTCTCGTGTCACAGTTTTCGTTGCCATACTCCTCCGAAACGGCTTGACCGATTTTGATGAAATTTTTGGTGCTTATCCGGTATCTATGAAAATAGGCCAACATCTATTTTTCATCTCCCTAAATGTTAGGGGTAGATACAACATGCAAAACTACATACAATCCTCAATTTTCACCCTTCTACAAAATTATTTATATGGTAAGACAACGTTTGCCGGGTCAGCTAGTGGTAAAATAAATAAGTGGAAACTTTTTTTTTTTTCTTCTCCTCTTATATATGTTTTTTTTATGTATGTTTTTATGGTGTACAATAAAGTGTAAATAAAATAAAAAATAAATAAATAAATATAATATCTTCCGTTCTTATATTCACTTCGTTGCGGGAACCAAGATAGTTACTCATGTCCCTGGGACGCGACGGACTTCAGTGTTCCGGTGTTTTCATGGTTGTATCTACTGTAGATCCTGGCTTACAGGAGTTGCAGCAGTTTTGGGATTTTGTGGCGGGCTTGTCCCATAAAATAAAATGGTAAAATAGCCAGTGACAGGATGTATACAGAAGAAAAAAAGATCACATTTTCGAATCGACCCCATATAACTTGGAAAGAGGGCAGGTTGTAGAAGAAACAAAGTAATGATATTACTTAGCCCCATCGTGTAATGCTACTTTTTAATTTATACTTTTTTATGGAATAAGCCGGTAAACGAGCAGACGGATCACCTGATGGTAAGCAATCGGCGTCGCCCATGGACACCTGGAACACCAGAGGCGTTACAAGTGCGTCACCGGCTTTTTTGGGATTAGGAGTTTTAGGATCGTTGGGGATTCAGGGATTGGGGAAGGGGAAGGTAATTGGGCCTCCGGTAACCTCACTCACACGACGAAACACAACGCAAGCGTTGCTTCACGTCGGTTTTCTGTGAGGCCGTGGTATCACTCCGGTCGAGCCGGCCCATTCGTGCCGAAGCATGGCTCTCTCACACTAAAAATGTATGTACTTACAATGCATTTCCACGCGAGCAGTTCTTTCATGAGGACTCAATAGCGGAGTGTTGGTGGCTTGACACCTGATGCTGGTGTTCAACCAGCTCCTCTCAGCTCCACCAATGCTGATGCGGCTGACGATGACCTTGCCATCATTCTTGAGTATGGTGTGGTCGTCTATCTGCTTGTTGTTGATCAGCCAAGTGAGGGTGGGTTGTGGACGACCTAGTGATAAAAAAGTAGATTAGAATACGGTTTTAATATGGTAGATGCCAAATTTTTATTTTATTGTCCGTCTGGTAGATTATTTTAAATCATTAGACACGTATTTTTTATTTTCTTACAGAAACTAATACTTTCGACGATATATAGATTTGAAATATTGCGTGACGTCACATCTATGTAGGTACATTTTATACGTAGAAATGACGTTTTAGCCCCCACTCCTAAACTTTGATTCGTTTTATCTAAGTTTTGTTTTATTATACGACAAACTAAAAAAATACGTGTCTAATATTTTTTCATTACTTAACTTATGGACTAATTAGATTTATAATTTTCATACCCTGTCATCATCCCTATTCTCAGTGGCATCTGATTAGAAATCTTAAGCTCAGTAACACGCTTAATCAATGGTAGGAACGCAGATCTCCGCGAGACACAATATGTCTTCTATTGTGTCTCATATACAAGGTTAATCGTTCAACACAGTTACTTACTAGTAATTTAAGAAAAGTCTGTTTCGTTACACAAAGAAGTTAAAATTATCTCAGCAGCTTGCAACCACTATATCAACATAGCTCAAACCTTCCAAGTTAACAGCTCACCAAACAATAACTTAGTACTATCGGCATAACCACGGAAATTACAACTTTAAACACTTTATACAACTTAAGTACATACAAAAAGTCTAGACTTTTAAAGGAACTGGTATTAAACAATTATACTGGGCTGAAGAACTTGGGCGTTTCTGAATTCAGCAAATTTTGCGCTGCAGCATAACTTTTAGCCGAGTTTTCAGCGTAAACAAGTAGGGTGCTCCCAACAAGGTTACGAACAGTTATTTGAACTTAAACCGTCTCCTATCTGGCTAGAGTTTAGATCCTGTTGAGCTAACTGCGCTGACCTTTCGTGACTTCTAGGGATGTTAACTGCCTTTTAGCAAGTTATAGAGCTCATCCAGCGGAAATATAGTTCATAGTGCGACATTCTCGTAGAATACTTTGACCTCCCCTTCTTGCAAAGTGATTAATGTGGAATACTTTGGTTGACGTAATTATTTAATTTAAAGTTAATTTCATATTTGTTGTGCTGGTAAAAATATCTGCTAAATGTGAAAATATATCAGATCAAAAGATTCAAGAGTTTTTATCTGACAAGTATCGAGTTTCTAGAAAAGGAAGCAAGAAATATCACCATAAAAAGGGTGACCTCATCAAGAAAGTTGGCAAAAACGTACAATAAAAGTCTGATTTTCTATATTTTTTCTAAGTAACAAGAAGAAACTCAGTGAAATGTAGCCACTTCATAATCAGAGGTAACATTTTCTCGTCGGATTGGCAGGAAAAACAGGACAAAAATACAACGCCGCGGGCAGATGACAGCAAGCTAGAAAAATTGTGTATTAAAATATTCATACGAAAATATTCGTTTTTGATAAAAATTTGGATTTTTGTGACACAATAACTAGGTTGATAGTTCAGAAACAAAACAAAAATGGCTGAATATTAATTGAGTTTCCATTTTATTCTGTGTGAAAGCGTAAATAGCGGAAATAGTGAACCATAAAGTGACCAAGCTTTTTCGTTATTTATGGGATATGATCTCGTAAAGTGTCGGTGTGAAAAATATAAATGTGATATATAGATTTATTTCGTTTGTTCGCTTTTTCATTTGGCAACGTATTATATAAATTATTGGGATATTATATTCATTTTTATTGGCTGTTGTTTAGTGTCAAAAACTGAGTAATTGTATTTTGACTGTATATATTTAACCTCTTCCTCTCCGAATAGGATAAGTACACCTGAGATATGACATTAGGATTGTGGACTTGGATTTTCGAAATCGAAAACCGTTGTCGGAGTTCATATTTGTCGCTGCTCCCAATTAGAGTATATTGAACAATTTTGCTTTGTTAAAAAGATAAAACTAGCTCACAAAATCAGTAAAGGTGAAAAAGTAATCTTTCATAGACTTTCTAATACTGGAAAACAGTTCAAGCTGAAAATGTTTCAAGCGGGTCATGTTGTGGAACGAGGATGACTGGAATGCCGTATCCTCCTTTGGCGAAGCAGTCATGCTAGCTAAAGAGGAGGCGGGACGCGTGAGGCAGCGAAGCGCTGCCTCCTCGCAACCCAGCCATCGCGAAGGACACTCCGGGCGTCGGGGATCGCGGTACGATGTCCAGCCACCGTAAGCGCGGGCCTGCGGACGGTAGCATGGGTGGCTCGCTGCCCGACCAGAACCAGACCCGAACGTACAGCGCGTCGCATTGCGTTCCGCGCGTGCCTCAAAGAACCATCAGACCAAAACGGAAGGGGGGCCCAATAGGACTGATACCGATACGGAGCCGTGGAGAACCTAACGGGTTACCGGGGTTCGAAGTGCAGGAGTAGGTACGGAGTTGTTTTTAGTCAGTACGAATTTGACCTTCCCTCCCTATCCACTGAGGCGAGAGAAGTAATTCGATGATTTTCCCCCCTTAAAAAAAGCACTGTAAAACAGTTGACGCTGAAAATATTTTACACTTAACAGTTTTCTGAAAACATTTTATCTATAAATAACGACGACAACAAAAGACATACTGAAAGAATATTGAATCAACTCACAGGACAATCACAACTTTTTATTTCAGTAAGGACGTTGTTACTCGTAATAGTTTCAGGTTTTTTTCGCTGAAAAAGCTGAAAGAAGTTGCGACTGGAAGCGAACGAAGTTTGTTTGTAACTAGAATAAGGGACTGCATAATGTATGTGATATTGTTGGGTAGTTTGTGGGGGGGGGGGCAAGATGGCGGATGACAGGTTAACCTGGTATGGAGATGTGAAGTTTTACTTGAATTGTTTATTTTAATTTGTGATTAGGATAGACTGCATGGTTCTATTTATTGGCTATGTACAAAGCGAGTAGTGGCGGACAGATAACGACCGCAGCGCACAACACGGCAGAAATTGGAAACAAATGCGGATGATGCAAACCCGGTTTTTATTATTCTATTCATTTTACAGTAAAACTATTGAATAAATTGCAATTAAATAATGTCAACAATACTATTCATCTTTGATTTTATTTATATTTGCAAAGAAAATTATAATGTTAACATTGTCATTATTTGGCAGCTTCCGCAAATGTTATAAACGCTACGCGTCGCCACCGTCGCGCACATATCCAATAGATATAACAACTTATACGAACTAGACTATTTTGAATTTATATCTGTGCCTCCTGTGATAAGTGATATAACTCGAGTTGTACCCTTTTTGTGATTTTCACATGAGCATTATCAAAAAAAAATAACGTGTTTTTTGGTCTAATTCACGTTCTTCTATCTGCTATAGTTTCGGAGATAATTTTGTGCAAAGTGATACAACTATAGGGATTTTGGCAAAAAAACCGTGACAATCGATATTTGTTAAGTTGTAACTCCAAAACCGGTCACTTAACAAACTATTTTTCGTGTTTCGTGATTTAAATCCTATTGTATTTAACTTCACATTTTATTTTTCAGTACATTTACCGTGAATTTTGATGTGACTACAGTAATATCCCTTTGGACTAATTCTTTCGATATGCCTCTAGGATACAAATCGACATGTACCTACAAATCTGAATGTAAGGTATGCCATTTTTTTTGTGAAAAGTGATACAACTTGACTTAAATCATTCTACACAAATCTGTCTTTATGTGTAAACAGATATAAATATAGTTGTATCTAAATATCCAACCAATTGTAAAAATATACGATATAAAATATTAAATGTACTAAGTGATACAAGTGTAGGTGGCAGGGGTTCGCGGGGGTAATCGGGGTAATTTTTTTCAGCTAAAATTCGAATTGATAAAATAATGAAATGGGCTACACTAAATCAGATATTGATGAAAAAGATACCCAGGCAAATGGCCACGAATCAAGATAACGAATCAATAGAGACGCAAGAAGGAAAAGAACTAGTTGAAGAATTGCGGAACCCTACAATTGTTGCGAAAACAGTTTTCAATAATAATAATATATTAAGATGAACAAGACTCAAGAACATTCTTCAAAAAATCTACTCGACGATTTGAGAATTTCAGAATCATCTGATGATGGTGATTTTGGAAGAGGGCCATTCGATCAATTTATAATCCTATTTATTTATTTTTTATTTATGCTTTATTGTAAACATTTAAGTAGCTTAAAAACAAACAATTCAAAAGCTAATCTTAGTCCGAGGTACTCTCTCATGGAACTATTTAAAGAAATTGATAATAATGACTGTTGCCTCTCAATACATTTATAAAAATGTAGTACATGCGCAAAAGTTTATTTAAAAAACATAGTGATATACATAATTTCAACACGAGAAATAAAGACAAATATGTTGTTCCCACTACTAGACTAAAGAAAATAAATGGTTCGTTTAGATGTCAGAGTATACGCTTTTACAATAAAATTCCCAGCCACATCCAAAATTTGAGTCTAAATAAATTTAAAAATGTCATTAAAGATAATAAATAATTTTATAGTAAAGCTTTTTATAAAATCAAAGACTACCTAGACGATAGTCGGGCTTGGGAATAAGCCGCTGTAACGTCCACACAGGTCATGTTGACATGTTTGTAACATATAGTTACATTTATTTTTTATATGCAATTTGACATTATTGTTTTAATGTGACATTGTTTTTCATTTGAATTTTTTTATATGTTGTTCTAACTTGATATTTATTTTTCAATTGTTAGTGCTAGGACCGGGCGAGACTTTGCGTCGCCATTTCTTTTCTAATTACCTATATTCTGACAGTTTGAGTATTTGTACGACCCACGCAAATGTTCTTTAGGTTGGTATTGGTCGTCGAATCAGTCAGCCTCACCTGTTAATTGAGCTGGCTGTAAAGCGGCACATGCGTACTGCCTTCAGAACGGGTCAAACGGGTCCGCTCAAACTTTTGTGGTTCTTTCCTCAAAAGGCCACTACAGAAAGAACTTGCACGGTTCTCACACATAATCTGTTATACATATT